CATGGACATCTCTGATACTGAATTATCCACCTCATCCTTTCAGGAAGACTGTAGGAAGAACAGAACTAAGGCAAGCCAAAGATGATGTAATTTTCTTTTCTGTAACCATGGGTTGCAGGAAAGAAAATTGCTCAATTCCCCCATCAACACAGTTCGTGTTGGTGGGGGAATCCCTTCCATGGAGCTATTATGTTCTGCCGAGAGAAAACAGACAATGATTACTGCTCGCGGCTGTAGCCGCTGGCAGCAATTGTATGTAAAAAAAAAAATCTGTCAGGCTGGTTGACAGATGATTCCAACATGGTTCTAGTCTGACTTGCACTATATGCATCCTGATGCGATAGCCTTCAAAGAGGATCACTGCAGCCAGCACTAGAGTCAATAGGGTGTTGAGCACTAAACCATTTGGATAGGAAGCACACATGAATCCCTGCAATTGGAGCGGAGCTTTGCACACCAGCAGCTGTGAGCCAAGTGAAATCCCAGGCTTCTCATGTTGTGAGTGCAATATACTAGGGTCAACCCTAGCAGATTTTTTTGTGAACCCAGGTGACGCTATACAGACTGTATTGGCTCTTTAAAGCCTAATTACAGCCAGATAAACAGAAAAATCAACACAAGGGACATAACTTACAGTCAGCAGGATGTGTCACTTGTACTCTTGCCCCTTCTCTTAGTTGAAATCCTCCTCTGTCCATGCTCCACTCTGGATTTACTTTAATCTACACTATGAGAGACTGATAAGTATACTGGATCATTTATGATTGGTGCACTTGCATGGCTTTAGCTGCTTTAACCTCCCTGGAGGTATTCCCGAGTGTAGCTCGGGATAAAGTTTCAGCACCAAAAGTGGTAACCTCGAGCTACACTGGGGAATACCCTGCATCGTTGCTCAGGGATCCTTTCTGCACTTACCTTGTCCTTCGCTCCCGCAATGTCCCCCTTGCAGCGTCCCCGGGCATCTCCTCCGGCAGATGCCGGCATCTGTCTTCCGGGTTCTGTTCCCTGCAACGTCGGGATGTATGAGGATGGAACCGGCGGGAAATTTTAAAAAGTGACACATTCACTCAATACACTAAAATCTGATAGTATTACATTACTGTATCAAAGCATTTCACATACATTTTGTCCCTAGTGCTTTGTCCTGTGCCCTGCCTGCATTTTTACTGTTCTTTCTGCCTGGAAACTGAGAAAACGTCCATGGCATCCAAAAAGCGTCCTTTTAGGTCAAAAGCGGTTTTAGACCAGCTAGAGAACAGCGATAGTAAATTAGAATCACTTGCAGAATTGAGTGATGATTCATGGGGAAATTCATCATCAGACACTGAAAACGATTTTGTGACTAAGCTCAGTGATGTGCGAACTTGGCGCTCTATTTCAAATTTCAGTGTTTTTGGTTTGATTATATTATTGAATTATATTTATATTATTTTTTATGATGATTTATTAAATTATAATTTATGATTTTGTGTTTTCAAATTTTATCATACCCGTGATGTTTACTAGACTCTTGTTTGGACAGATTTCAGTGAGTTATTCCTAAAAATTACAGGCCTACAATAAAAAAAAACTACATATTTCCATGCAAAAAAAATGTGCTGCTTTGAGCACAGAAATACTGACATAATCAGACCGCTAGGGAGGTTAAGGGCTTTGTGAGAAAGGCTTATCAAGTGGAAATTTCCAGTTCTGAATTATTATACATACTAAGGACTGGTCCAAGAATGGATGTTGTTGGTGGTGCACCGAAATTAAAATTCTGGACCAAAGCCGAAAATTCAGGATGTACTTGGCCAAAAACGGAAAGTGAAATTGACAGAAAAGAAAACCAAAATATATAATATATACACACACATATATATATATACACACACACAGATACAGTTAGGTTTTATTTCCTATTTAGGCTGGTTATTAGCCAAGTCTCTGCCTCATCTGACTGCATTGATGTGGGAACCCTGGAGGATGTGCTGGTTGTGATCATCTGGCTATCTTGGGCCCAATAAATGTGCTTTTATTATCTATTGAAATGTGAGTGGCCTGGAGTCTGTTTAATATAGGATTAGAATGATCTTGGCAATATTACACTATGTAAGTTTTTTGCTCTGAAAACACGGTGGAGGAAGCGAGGAGGCCACGGTGAGGACCTGAAAGAGGATCTTATCTTGGGGAGGCTAACATTGAGTGGATGGAAAGAGGGCGTGGGATTCCCTATAAAATTCCCAAAGGCTTTACATTCACCTAAATCTGGTGAGTGCATTTGATGTTGGTGTGCACGGGTGAAAGGTGGAAGGCTAGGAATCTCATTTGGAGGTCTTTATTTTTCACCACAAGGGACTTTATGGAGTTTTTTTGACACAAATATGCACTGCAAGTGATATGGAATTTTGATACTTTGTCATTTAATATCTATTTTGCGCTATTTATACATTTCACTGTTTGTGTATTCACACTTTTTGTACAGCAGCAATTTAGAAAAGTGATTTATTTAATTTGGATTGGTGCAGGAATATTTTTTCTTTCATTTTTATTGTTCTCAATCATCGTCTGGGAAGACCAGGTGATGTCAATCTCAAAAGGTTTTAAATGCCCAGACTCATCTGACCTTGCCCCAACAATCAGCACCATGGGTTCTTCTTAGCAGTTGTCTAGAAAACTGAAACTGAAAATAGTTGACGCTCACAAAGCTAGAGAAGGCTATAAGAAGATAGCAAAGCGTTTTCAGATGTCAATATCCTCTGTTCGGAATGTAATTAAGAAATGGCAGTCATCAGGAACAGTGGAAGTTAAAGCAACATCTGGAAGACCAAGAAAAATATCAGACAGAACAGCTCGCAGGATTGTGAGAAAAACAATTCAAAACCCACGTTTGACTGCACGATCTCTCCAGAAAGATCTGGCAGACACTGGAGTTGTGGTACACTATTCCACTATAAAGAGATACTTGTACAAATATGGTCTTCATGGAAGAGCCATCAGAAGAAAACCTCTTCTACGTCCTCACCACAAAAATCATCGTTTGAACTTTGCAAATGAACATATAGACAAGCCTGATGCATTTTGGAAACAAGTTCTGTGGACCGATGAGGTTAAAATTGAACTTTTTGGTCGGAATGAGCAAAAGTACATTTGGAGAAGAAGGGGCACAGAATTTAATGAAAAGAACCTCTGTCCAACTGTTAAGCATAGGGAACATCTCACGAGTAGAAGGAAAAATGGATTCAATAAAATTTCAGCAAATTTTGGATGGTAACTTGATGCCATCTGTGAAAAAGCTGAAGTTAAAGAGAGGATGGCTTCTACAAATGGATAATGATCCTAAACACACCTCAAAATCCACGGGGGATTACATCAAGAGGCGTAAACTGAAGGTTTTGCCATGGCCTTCACAATCTCCTGACCTCAACATAATTGAAAATCTATGGATAGACCTTAAAAGAGCAGTGCGTGACAGACAGCCCAGAAATCTCAAAGAACTGGAAGACTTTTGTAAGGAAGAATGGGCAAAGATACCTCAAACAAGAATTGAAAGACTCTTGGCTGGCTACAAAAAGTGTTTACAAGCTGTGATACTTGCCAAAGGGGGCAGTACAAGATATTAACTCTGCAGGGTGCCCAAACATTTGCAGGCGCCATTTTTTTGTTTTCTGTTATTTTGAAAGTGTAAATGATGGAAATAAAAATCTAACTTTTGTTGACATATTATAAGAAAGTCTAATCTGTAATTTGATGCCTTTTGGAGATTTTTCCATCTTTTCTTGGCTTCTTTATGCACATTAACCTCCCTAGCAGTATGATTATTTCATATTTTTGGTGCTGAAAGCGGTACCATTATTTTGCATGGAAATATGTAGTTTTTTTATTGTAGGCTGTAATTTTTAGGAATAACTCACTGAAATCTGTCTGAACAAGATTCTTAATCATATATTTAATTCAATTATATAATCAAACCAAAAACACTGAAATTTTAAATATAGCGCCAAGTTCGCACATCGCTGAGCAAAGTCGCAAAATTGTTTTCAGTGTCTGATGACGAATTTCTCCACGAATCATTATCACTCAATTCTGCAAGTGGTTCTGATTTACTATCGCTGTTCTCTAGCTGATCTAAAACCGATTTTGACGTAAAGGGACGCTTTTTGGACGCCATGGACTTTGCATTTTGATCTTTCTGCCTGCAAACTTAGAAGACAGGGAACAGGATAAAGCACTAGGGACAAAATGTATGTGAAATGGGTTGAAACAGCAATGTTTTACTATGTAAAATCGTTTTGCAAAAAATGAAATTTTTTTTAAAATTTTCAAATTTCCCACTGCTGGCGGCGCCCGTACGTCCCGACGTCACAGGGACCGGAACACAGGAGACGGATGCCGGCATCAGCCGGAGGAGATGGCCGGGGACGCTGCAGGGGACACATCGCGGGAGCGAAGGACAAGGTAAGTGCTGCAGGGACTCCCTATACAGCGCTGCATGGTAAGCCCGAGTGTAGCTCGGGGTTACCGCTTTTGGTATAGACATTTTACCCCGAGCTACACTCGGGAATACCGTTAGGGAGGTGAATACAACTTTTTAGCTGGGGTGCCCAAACTTTCGATCCCCACTGTACATACATATACATTTATATATATTTTATTTAAACATTTTTTTTCTTATATAGAATTGCATTACCGTATTTTCCGGCGTATAAGATGACTTTTTTACTTAAAAACATACCCCAACAATTGGGGGTCGTCTTATACGCCGGGTATAGAACCGCTGGATGTGCGGTAATACTGTACGGTAGCTTCAGCTACATACAGTGTACCGCGCTGAGCCAATCACGGCGAGCGATGTATTCTATTAATGAATACAGAGCCTGCTCGGATTGGCTGAAGTTGTGACATCAGCCCGCCTCTCTGACGCAGCCAATCCGAGCAGGCTCTGTATTCATTAATAGAATACATCACTTGCCGTGATTGGCTCATATGACGTCCTCCCATTCTCTGCGCATGCGTCCCTTGGACACAGCGGATCACCGATCACGGATAGAGCCGAAGATGTCGGCTCGGTCATGTGACCAGCTGTGTCCAATCACAGCTGATCACATGTAAACAGGGAAATGCCGGTTATCGGCATTTCTCTCCTCTCGAGCTGTCACGCTGACAGCTCGAGAGGAGAGGAGAGCCGGTAATCAGCTTTCCGCGGAGGGGACATGTACACTGATCATCAGGGCACTGATGATCAGTGTGCCCTGATGATCAGTGTAGCCCCAGCAGTGCCAGCTGTCAGTGTCCATCAGTGCCACATCAATGCAACATATCAGTGCCTACCAGTGCACATCAATGCCACATCAGTGCCCATCTGAGCTGCTTTTCAGTGCCACCCATCAGTGCCACCTATCAATGCCAGTGCTGCCAATCAGTGCCGCCTATCAGTGCCATGTATCAGTGCTGCCTTTCAGTGCCCATCAGTGATGTCTGTCAATGCCCATCAGTGCCACCTATCAGTGCTGCCAGTCAGTGCCGCACTATCAGTGCCAGTCAGTGCCGATGTGCCAGTCAGCCGCCTATCAGTGCCATGTATCAGTGATGCCTGTCAATGCCCATCAGTGCCACCTACCAGTGCCTCCTCATCAGTGCCACCTATTTCATATGGGTACAGTGTTGCATGACCGCGCCATTGTCAAAGTGTGACAGTGCTGAAAGCTGAAAATTGGCCTGGGGGGGAAGTGGGTATAAGTGCCCTGTAGGCTAGGGGTTAAATGGTGTTGCCTCAGAAGGGGGGTAGTCTTATATGACGAGTATAGCCCAAAACCTATGTTTTAACTGGAAAATTAGGGGGTCGTCTTATACACCCAGTCGCCTTATACGCCGGAAAATACGGTATATTCGACTTTTTAATGAAGGTCATGAATTTAAATGACTATGAATTTAAAAATACAATCCAGTAACAAATTGTGTGTTGCTTTCAATAAAAGCTGACAGAAAATAAAATTAAATATATAAAATTACAAAAACATAAAGGAGTTTTTGCTTTGAAGTTATTAGGGGGCGTTTTTTGCATTGAAGTCCATGGGACAAGATTTAGCATCAAAGTCAGTGGGGGAGTTTTTGCATCAAAGTCAATGATCATTATCGGCATCTTCTATTCTTTATCAGCAAAACTCCAATAACCCTATTTTTGGCCCATAATTTTTTTCACATATCGGTATCGGTGCATCACTACATGTTGCCCTTTGATAACACTTAATACCTGTGCGAAGGAGGGTATTTTGCCATCCTACTATCCCCCTCTGGACCACAGGGATTAAGCTTCCACCTGATGGACTTTTTTGAGTTCCATGACACATAGCGACATTCTTGTGCAGCTTGGAGGTTCCTAAGTGACACTTTTCTTCTCAGACACAAGGAGTTTTGATGGTGGTACTACACTTGTTTGTCTGTGGTGGACTATAAACACCTGCCAATCCACATCACTCCTCTAGACTGTCTGTACTGTTGGAACACTATGAGCAATTCAAATTCAAATTCAAAACCCTTATCTATTTGTCAGGCTGCTTTGAGGATAGTTACTTGCTTCTTAGCTAATTTGTTGCCATGTGGTAATGCTCACATGGATATACATTATGATATTTGAAACAATCCTTGAACAACGCTCATATATTTGGGGACATGATGGGTGATGTGTGTGTTTTAACTCACCAGGTATCTTTTTGTGTAAATGTCAATAAAGATTTTTGTAGAGATATCTGTCATAGCTTAATCATTTTGTGTTCTCCCCCCCCCCCCCTTTTTTTTCTTTTTTGAACTATCCTATACTACATGTTTAGAGTGGTAAGAGCCATAAATCCATTTTTATGGTATTGTTTTAGGTATTGTGGATGGCTCCCTCTCCATAATCATAGACATATAATACAATTCTATATATACTTTCAGTAGTTTTTGACCTGATAGGATACTTTCTTTTGGTGCTCAAGATAAAGATAGGAGTCGGGGAAGTGAGCGGCAAGGAGAGAGAAGCAGTATAAGATCTATAGGAGAAGGTCTGGATATGAGGTGGAAGCAGAGCGATGACTCCAGTCTGAATATGAGTTGTGGTGCTTGGTGTTCCTCATGGCTGAAGTGGGATACCAATCACTTGCAAGGGGAATTGGGGTATTGGTATTCTCATGGTAATGCAGGTTTCAACTTTCACTCAGATTTATGGGCAAACTCTGTAAGGGGGAATCTTATCTACAGAATTTGTGGACAGAATTTGGAGCTCTGCAGAACTCATGCAATCCATCTAAGGGCCCTAGAAGCTTTTAAAACAATCTTGCTCATCATAGATTTTTCATTCTCATCAGCAAGCAAAGCAGAAGAGTTTTTGAAACACAGGAATATGATCTGGGCAGGGCTGACAGTAGGATTATTTTGGATAGTGTGTTATGACCACTCCCTTGACTGAAAAGCATAGATAAAATACTGCATTCCAAGAGCTGTCTGGTGTGTGGACAGCTCCACCAGACATGTAACTTAGTGACCTCTGGATGTAATACACCACCAGCAACAGGGAGAGGCTGTCTGAAAAATCTTCTCTAAGTTCATCTCCATTCATCTCGTCACTTAAAAAGCCCTCAATGGACCCCACCAGTCTGAACAACTTAAGACCCATGTTTTTTGCTCCCATTTACCTTAAACATTTACAATGCTTAGCTCTGTCTAAGATCCTAGCTCACTACCAACCTTCTTGACCCCTTACAGTGTGGCTTTCGCTTGTAACACTCCAAACTGCTCTACTAAAACGCACGATCAATTTATTAACTGTTAAAACCAATAGCCACTAATCCACAGTCCTTAATATTAGACCTTTCTGCTGCCTTTTATACTGTTAACCACCTGCTCCTCCTAAATAAACTCCACTCCCACGACGCCCAAGACTCTGAATGAACATTTTAATGGGAGAAGAACCAGTTAAGATCAGTGTTGCCTACAGCTCTATCTCCTCCTCCTCACTTCCGCTTTCTGTAGGAATCCTGTAGGGCTCTGTCCTTTGACCCTTCTCATCTTTACCTACACTTTCTCTCTTGATCACTTGATAACCTCCCATGGCTTCCAATATCATCTGTATGCTAACCAAATCTATCACTCCTCACCGCACACCTTCATTCTCTTCTCACACTTCTCTTACCAACATCCTCAAACTAAAACTTTCTAAAACCAGGCTTTTAATATTTCTCGCCCCCCCCCCAGCCTGTGCCATCCTCCGTGAGTTTTCCATCAAGTTCAATAGTACAACTATCAGTGCTTCTCTTTGTGCCAGGGTACTAGATATAGTAGATTCTGCCCTGTCCTTTAAGCCCCAAATCCAACCACTGTCCAAAGCTTGTGAACATCACCTTGGTAACATTTTTAAAATACACCCCTTCCTAACCAATTAAACCACCAAACTACTCATTTACTCCCTTATCTCTTGCCTTTACTATTGCAACCTTCTCATAGGCCTACCTCTACCCCTTCAGTCAATCATGAATGCTGCTGCCAGACTCATGTACCCTGCCACCTGCTCAGTATCCACCACCCCTCTCTGGTAATCAGAAGCCAGTGAAAGGAATGGCAAACAAATAAAATTCAAAATACTTAAAACATACAAAGCCATTTCACAACTTTGCCCCAAGCTACATCACCAATCTCGTCTCAAAATATAACCCAAACCATCCTCTCCCCTCCTTCTAAGCCCTCCTCCTGCTCTCTAGCTCTCATCTCCTCTTCCCATGCTTGCCTCCAGGACTTCTCCAGAGCCTCGCCCCATCCTCTGGAACTCTCTACCTCAATCTGTCCACCCATCTCCTACACTATTCACCCTTAGGCAATCCTAGAGAACTTCTCTTCAGGGAAGCCTATCCTGCCTGTTTAAAAATTGAGAAATGGGGAATACGTTTCCAAAACACATTGTCATGGCAATCCGCTATGTGACGTGTGGGGGTGACTTATGATTCACCCTGAGGAAAGACCGCAATGGACCGGCAGGTACACTCCACTGGTATTGTTATCTTAAGATATGTTGGTGTAAATGTTCCTGGGCAGGCGGCTTCAACACCCCAGAGGATTTCCAGTCTCCCTGGCTTGTAGAAAATTGTAAGAAAAAGTTGAAATTGAGGTGCCACACCACTGTTAAAAGGTCCAGATACAACTTTATTCCATTAAAAGGTCAGAGGAATAAGTTAAGATGTAACCAACGCGTTTCAGTGTTCCAAGTGCTCCCTTGATCAGGGCTAAAACATAAGATTTTAATTTCAATCTGACATGAACACAAAGTCCCCTCAAAGGAGTCATAATTAAAAGACAATCATAATGAGTATCAAAAAAATTTACATAAAAATTAGAACATGAGTGCTGAACAAAAATGAGAACATGGGTACTGAAAAACAAAACAAATAATAATTATAATCATTATTATTAATGGTATATTGTGGTTGATAGGTTAGCCTTAATCTATACAAAAAAAAAAAAAAAAAAAGTATAAAAAGATAATGAAAATGATATTGGCGTGAATACCGCTAAGGATGATGATACCTCCTCTGCAATGATACATTGTTATTAAAATTAAAACTTTTTGGACCTAGTAAAAACATATAGAAAATGACAAAAATATAACGAAAGAGCTGATCGGAGCCATACATTGTACGAACTGGCTGTCCAATCACTGAGCAAACTGCCCAGTCTTAAAAATATCATGCATTAAGGGGTACAATTCAAGTGGCCCATTCCATTGGTGGTGGATCCTATCACGAATGTGCAATCTGATTGTACTGTGTGTATGCACAACCCAGAAGGCAATCACAAGGTTGTATACCCACAGGCTATAGAGTACATCTGGGGAATAGATCATCTGAAGCAGATCATTTGTGTATGTACAGACCATTGCTGTATGTGGTATGGTAAGTAAAATAGTGTGTCTGAGGTCAAAGATACCGACTCATGTTGACAACATACATTAACAAGACAGATCTGAGAGGAAAAAAAAAAAACAAACAAACTGTGCATTACCTTGACTGGCAATAAAGTGAACAGACCAGGAGTAAACTGGACTTACAATGGAATCTGAAGAAAGGATAGAATGAGATCAGGGTGAATATTAGGTAAAATTATTATTGGTAAGATCTAATGGGAAAATAAAAGGCATCCTCACTTATGCCAGTGTAAATTAAAAGCAAAGGCCTAATCAGCAGCTTGTTTGGCAGCAACCATGTTAGTCCAGTCTGCCATGTTTAGAAGGCTAAATTGGCTCCAAAAAAGGAGGAGAGGGAGGAAGGGGAAGGTCAAAGGGGGAAGATGTGTCTAGACTCAGAGTGGCATTGGTTGATAGTGGGAGGATCTGAACCAATCACAAAAAGAAACATAGTGATGGATGTGTAAAGCCTGCAGTGTGTGAACGGTGAGTGAGCAGTGTGTGTTTGGGACATGTGACTGATTATGTCTGTTTGGGTTTATCATTGCTCTAACATAAAAGAGTGT